GGCTGGTAATTCTCTCTTTCAGACAATTGAATATTTGATTTCACTCTCTTCTGGCTTGTAGAGCTTCTGCTGAGAAGTTGGGTAATATTCTAATGGGTTTTCCTTTGTAGGTCACCTCCTTTTCCCTGGCAGCTTTGAGAATTTTTTTGTCATTAATTTTTGACAGTTGTAATACCATGTGCCTTAGAGAAGGCCTCTTTGGATTGAGGTAATTAGATGTTCTGTTTGCTTCTTGGATTTGAGGATCTAGTTCTCTCCATAGGTTTGGAAAGTTCTAATCCATTATTTGTTTGAATAGACTCTGTTCCCTGCTCCCTCTCTTCCTCCTCTGGAATGCCTGTTATTCTAATATTGTTTTTTTTTCTGATGGAATCAGAAAGTCCTTGTAGATCTCTTTCATTTTTCTTTATATTCGGGTCTCTCTCTTCTCCCCTCTGCCTCATTTCTAGATTCTCATCTTCAATGTCACTAATCCTTTCCTATGCTCAGTATTTACTCCTAATCTCCTTAATTGTGTGTTTCATTTCCAGGATTTCTGATTGGTTCTTTTTTAAAGTTTCAATATCTTTGGTAAAGTATTTTTTTTGTTGTTGTTCATTAATTTGTTTTCTGAGTGCATTGAATTGCCTGTCTGTATCTTCTCACATCTTGTTGAGTATTTTCAGAACTGCAATTTGGAAATCTCTGTTATTTATATCACATATGTCCAAGCTTGCTTTCTGGAGATTTTTTACTTTCTTTCTGAGCTTCCTTGTTACTGTGGTAATTCATGGTATTTGCTGGTCTCCTCTTGTCTAGGCAGGTATACATGCATGTATTATTGGCCCTTCTCTAGCAACTTTCTCTGAAAAGGTTTGTCTATTATTTTCCAGTAGATGGCGCTGAAGCACACGATTTTTTTTACCTCTGTGATCTCCCAAAGTTGACATCCATGGTTTCAGTGACAATAAAGCTATGTTGCTTGGGGGTGGGGTTTGTTTTGCCCTCACTGCAATGGTGACCCTGGATTTCTGTGTCCCCCCCCAAGCACCCCACCCAGGAATTAATCACAGAGAGAAACAGTGGTTCTACTGCAATAGCTCTCAGTTTACAGATAATATGCTCCTCAATTTGACACCAAGGGCAATGGAAGGTGAGTTTTGGGAGTCCACGGAGCAGAATCACTTTATGGTTCCATTTCTTTGTCTGAAACACCACCGCCCAAAAGTGGACAGCTGTGCAGCAGAACCTCTGTGCTCTGTCCTTGCTCAGGCATCTCTGCTGGTTCAGTCCCTGCTGGACTGCACACCATGACTCCTTATTCCTCCCAGACTAGAGAAGAGCCTGCTACCACCCGCTTCTTCCCCTCTCACGGCTAAGTTCCTGGCTGTAGAGCTTCATCTGTGGCTATCTAAACTTTCCTCCCTTCCCACCTCCCCATTTATTCCTGGTGCCCAGCTTTAGATGCTTAACTGCATGGGTCTCTCAGGCATGCCTATATATTGAGTAGAGAATTCTTTATTGAGTTATAGTTGGTTTTGTTGAAATTTCATGGGGAGAAGCAAAGGGACTCTCTCATGCCACCATTCCTCTGACCTCACTTTGCATTATATCTTTTACTGTCACTTTTAGCTCCTTAGGATGGTTTATCTGATTTATTCCTATTTTTTACTTCTACCCGTGGCATGTAGTCCAAGATATGGCACATAATAGGGCATTCATTGTTAAACGTGAATAAATGACTGGTATTACCTCACTATTTTGGTCAGCAATTAGTCTCATGTTTTGATTTTGATAGATGGATTTTTGTTCTGTATTTGTCTTCATTACTGCTAACTACCTAGGATGGTAGGCTCCCATAAGGAAGGGATGTAATTTATTTACATTTTCTTTAAATAGTATCTAATAGAGTATTAAACTTGCAGCTTCATATAGTGAAAAAACCACTAGATATGAGTCATTAATTCTTGGTTTGAATCCTTATTCTACCAATTAATAGCCGTGTTACCTTGGAAAAATTCTGTTACCTCTCTGAATCTTCAATTTCTTTGCCTATAAAATAGAAATGATAGCCCTGGCCAGTGTTTCTCAGTGGTTAGAATGTCGGCCTGTGGACTGAAGGGTCAGGGGTTTGATTCCTGGTCAATGTTTTGATTGCGGGTTTCATCCCTGGCCCTGGCTGGGGCACATGCAGGAGGAAATCAACTGATTTGTCTCTCTCATGTCAATGTTTCTCTCTCTCCCATCCCCCTTCCCCCGATCCCTTCCACTCTGAAAATCAATGGAAAAAATATCCTCATGTGAGGATTTAAAAAAAATGATAATATGTAATTTTCAGGGGTATTGTAAGCCTGAAAGTAAATTGCACTTTAACTCCTTAAAGTATGGTCTAGTCATGGTAACAAAGCTGAAGTGGGAAATCAGTAGGAATAGATTCTAGTCTTGGCTCTGCTATTTACTCAATGCATGCCCTTAGTCAAGTTGCATAATCTTTGGGTTTGGTTCTTTCATCTGTAAAATGGGGATGATAATGATTTCTGTTGACTTGCCCTTATATGATTATTAAGATAATCAAATAAGATAGTAAAAGCAAAAGAGTTTCTTTAAAATGTATAAGTGTAATATGTGGCTATTGTTATGTTTTAGAAAATACTTTTGATGGATAATGATACAATACACATAGGTTAACATGAAATTGACAAAACTCACCTGACTTTATGTCCTTATCCATTCAAAATTTATATTTTTCCATTTAAGTACCTGCTGTTTTTTTCTATCTGGTCATTTTCTAGACAAATATCTTTAACTATGGCCAAATGTGAACTGATTGGTATGATGGAGTTAAGTGGTATGAATATGACTTTGTTCTTACCTCTGATTCCAGGTCATCTTATCTAGGTAATTTAGCCAAAGTAGCCAAGTTACATTCCTGAGCATTCTAGGTACCTTCAGTTTTGTAGTTTTGTTTTGTGTTCCAGTCAGAATGCATTCTCACAGAAAGACAACACTGAGAGAAAATATTCAAATGTATTCTTCTTAGTCTCCTAGTGAGTTCATGATTAAAGACAAAAAAGCAATAAAATGAGATTTCTACAAAACAAAATAACATTAGATGGAGGATTCCCTACCTTTGAAAATAGAAAAGCTTCATACTAAGATTTTGATATAGAAGAAGGAAAATGTAAAATACTTCCACAAAACCTGGAGACCTCTAGTGGGTGAGAAAAAGTTACTATAATTTTTAATTATGGTGGATGAGGAATGCTGTCTGCTCTTTCTCATGAGAATCTAAGAAAAACACAGGGTAATGTCAGTGTTGGGAAGTGTTGCTAACAAGGTTGGCCTTGTCTATTATGCTAGAACTAGAGGCCCGGTGCACAAAATCTGTGCACTGGGGGGGGGGTGTCTCTCAGCCCGGCCTGCACTCTCTCCAATCCGGGACCCCTTAGGGGATGTCCCACTGCCAGTTTAGGCCCGCAGTTTAGGTCAGCAGTCAGACATCCCTCTCTCAATCCGGGACCACTGGCTCCTAACTGCTCACCTGCCTGCCTGATAGGTCCTAACCACCTCTGCCTGCCTGCCTGATCTCCCCTAACCTCTCTGCCTGCCTGCCTGATCCCCCTAACTGCTCTCCCCTGCCAGCCTGATCCCCCTAACTGCTGGCCTGACTCCTTTAACTGCTTCCCCCTGCCGGCCTGATCCCCCTAACTGCTCTCCCCTGCTGGCCTGATCCCCCTAACTGCCTCTGCCCCACCACCGTGGCTTTGTCCAGAAGGATGTCTGGAAGGTCATCTGGAAGATGTCTGGTCTAATTAGCATATTACGCTTTTATTAGTATAGATGACTAGGAAAAGGACCAAGAAAATGAGTCATTTGGGATCTACCAGGAAAATTTTTATAAACTTTGTTGAGCTATTATTTACATAGAATGAAATGCACACATTTTAAGTGGGTAGTACAATGGGTTTATGCAAAAGTAAAAAAAAATCCATGTATATGAGGAGTTTTGAAGCCTCATTTGAGTGACTTTCAAGCCAAATTTTGATCGTGAGCATGCAATAATGCATACAGATATTGAATTTAATGCTGTAAAGCAGAAACTTAGTTTTTTTTAAATTTTTATTGAATTTATTGGAGTAACATAGGTTAATAACATTATATTGGCTTCAAAGTGTACAATTCTATGACACATCAATAGCATATTGTACTGTGTTCATCACTCTAAGTCAAGTCTCCTTCCATCACCATTTATCCCCCCTTTACCATCTTCTGTCTCCCTCCACTCACATTACCTTCTAGTGATCACCATACTGTTGTTGGTGTCTATGATATATATTTGTTGTTTAATCCCTTTACCTTCTTCACCCAGCCCACAACCCCCCTACCTTCTGATAGCTGTCAGACTGTTCTCTGTATCTATGCGTGTGTTTCTATTTTATTTGTTAGTTTATTTTGTTCATTAGATTCCATATATGAGTGAGATCAGGTGATACTTATCTTCCTCTTACTGGATTATTTCACTTAGCATAATATTCTTCAGGTACATCCATGCTGTCGAAAAATGTAAGATTTCCTTTTTTCCCCCACAGCCATGTAGTATTACATAGTTTAAATATTCCACAGGATTTTTATCCACTCATGCACTGATGGGCACATGGGCTGCTTCCAAATCTTGGCTATTGTAAATAATGGTGCAATGAACATAGGGGTGCATATATTCTTTTAAATCATGTTTTGGACTTCTTCAAATATATTCCCAAAAGTTGGATCTCTGGGTCATAAGGCAGTTCCATTTTTAAATTTTTGAGGAAAGGCCATACTGTTTTCCATAGTGGCTGCTCCATTCTGTGGAATACACTCCCACCAGCAGTGTACTAGGGTTCCTTTTACTTCATATCCTCGCCAACACTTGTTGTTTGATGATTTACTGATGATAGCCATTCTGAAAGGTGTGAGATGATGTCACAATTTGGTTTTAATTTGCATTTCTCTGATTATTAGGATATTGAGCATCTTTTTATATGTCTTTTGGCCATCTGTATGTCCTCCTTGGAGACGTGTCTATTCAGGTGCTTGCCTATTTTAAAAATTGACTGTTTTTTTGGTGCTGAGCTGTGTAAGTTCTTTAGGAATTTTGGATTTAGACTTTTATCAGATGTATCTTTGATAAATATGATCTCCTATTCAGTGGGTTTTCTTTTATATTTTGTTGATGATTTCCTTTGCTGTGGAAAATCTTTTTAGTTTGATGTAGTCCCATTTGTTTATTTTTTCTTTTGTTTTTCTTGTCTTAGTAGATATATCAGAAAAAAATATTGCTACAAGAAATGTCTAAAATTTATTGACTTTTTTTTCTTTTAAGATTTTTATGAATTAAAGTCTGACATTTAATTTTTTAATCCATTTTGAGTTTATTCTTATGTATGGTCTAAGAAGGTGGTCTGATTTCATTGTTTTGCATGTATCTATCCAATTTTCCCAGCACCATTTATTGGAGACTACCTTTACCTCATTGTGTGCTCTTACCTTCTTTGTCAAATATTGATTGACCATAAAGGCTTGGGTTTATTTCTGGCTCTTTATTTTGTTCCAATGATTTATGTCTGTGTTTATGTCAATATCTTGCTGTTTTGATTACTATGGCTTTGTAGTTAGTTTTATATCAGGTAGTGTTATTCCTCCAACTTAGTTCTTCTAAAGATTGCTGTGGCTGTTCAGGGTCTTTGTGGTTCCTTAAGTTTTTAGAATAGTTATTTGAGTTCTGTAAAATATGCCATTGGTATGTTGATGAGAACTGCATTGAATCTATACAGCACTTTGGGTATTAGGGATATTATAATGATGTTATTAATTCCTGTCCATGAACAAGATATATGCTTCCAATTATTTGTGTCTTCTTAGATTTTTTCAGTGTCTAATGTTTTAAGTACGTGTTTCGTTTTTTATATATCATTATTATTAAGAATATTATGGATATTCCTCCTTTTCTTTCCCCCCATTGTCTTTCTCCACCCAGATCCCACCCTGCCCCAGGCCTTTACAACCCTATAGTCTGTGTCCATAGGTAATGCATATATGCATATAAATTCTTTGGTTAATATCTTCCCACCCCCACTTCCCTCTGAGATTCATTAGTCTGTCCCATATTTCCATGCCTCCAGTTCTATGTTATTCATTAGTTTATTTTGTTCATTAGATTCCTTGTTCATTTATTTTTAGATTTAATTGTTGATAGATATGTACTTACTGCCATTTTATTGTTCATATTTTTTTATATTTTCCCCCTGCTTCTGCTTGTTTTTAATTCTTTATTGATTAAAGTATAACATATGTCACTTTTTCCCCCCCATTGACCTCTCCCCAAACACTCCCACCCCCTAGCACATGCCCTCACCACCCTAGTGTCTGTGTCGATTGGTTATGCTTATATTCATGCATACAAAAAATTTAAATTATTTATGGTTTAAAGTATTACATGTCTCCTTTTCCCCCCACTGATGTCTCCCTGGGTGCTCCCACCCCTAGCACATGCCCTCACCCCCTACTGTATGTGTCCATTGGTTATGCTTATATACAAGCATAAAAGCCCTTTGCTTGACCTGTAAACCCCACCCTCCCTTGCCTTCCCTCTGAGGTTTTACAGTCTGTTCGATGCTTCTCTGTCTCTGGTTCTATTTTTGTTCATCAGTTTATGTTGTTCATTATATTCCACAAATAAGTGAGATCATGTGATATTTATCTTTCCCTGACTGGCTTATTTTGCTTAGCATAAGGCTCTCCATGTCCAACCATGCTGTTCTGAATGATAAGAGTCCCTTCTTTTTTACGATAGCATAGTATTCCAGACAGTTTTCTAATCCATTCATCTACTGATGGGCACTTAGGCTGTTTCCAGATCTTAGCTATGGTGAATTGTGCTGCTATGAACATATGGGTGCATATATCCTTTCTGATTGGTGTTTTTGGTTTCTTGGGATATATTCCTAGAAGTGGGATCACAGGGTCAAATGGGAGTTCCATTTCCAGTTTTTTGAGGAAACTCCATACTGTCTTCCATAGTGGCTGCACCAGTCTGCATTCCCAACAGCAGTGCACAGAGGGTTCCTTTTTCTCCACATCCTTGCCAGCACTTGTCATTTGTTGATTTGTTGATGATAGCCATTCTGACAGGTGTGAGATGGTACCTCATTGTCATTTTGATTTGCCTCTTTCGGATGATTAGTGACTTTGAGCATGTTTTTATATGCCCCTTGGCCTTCTGTTTGTCCTCTTTCAAAAAATGTTATTTAGGTTCTTTGCCCATTTTTTTGTTTGGGTTGTTTATCTTCCTTTTGTTAAGTTGTATGAGTTCCCTATAAATTTTGGAGATTAAACCCTTATCATTTGCAAATATGTTCTCCCATGCAGTGGGCTTTCTTCCCCTGCTTCTTCTTAGAGAAGAGCCTTTAACATTTCTTGTAATACTGGTTTGGTGGTGATGAACTCTTTTAACTTTTTCTTGTCTGTGAAGGTCCTTATATGACCTTCAATTCTAAATGATAGCTTTGCTGGTAGAGTAATCTTGGTTATAGGCCCTTGCTTTTCATCTCTTTGAATATTTCTTGTCACTCCCTTTTGGTCTGCACAGTTTTTGCTGAGAAATAAGCTGGAAGTCTTATGAGCACTCCCTTGTAGGTAACTAACTGCTTTTCTCTTGCTGCTTTTATTTTTTTCTTTATTTATTAAGGTATTACATATGTGTCCTTATCCCCCCATTGCCCCTCCTCTCTTGCTGCTTTTAATATTCTCTCTTTGTCTTTAACCTTTAGCTTTTCAATTATGATGTGTCTTGGTGTGAACCTCTTTGGGTTCATCTTTTGGGGATGCTCTGAGCTTCCTGGACTTGTATGTCTACTTCTTTGACCAAGAAGGGGAAGTTTTCTATCATTATTTCTTCAAGTAGGTTATCAATTTCTTGCTCCCTCTCTTTTCCTTTCGGCACCTCCATGATGCAAATGTTGATATTCCTGAAGTTGTCCCAGGACTCCTTATACTATCTTCACATTTTTGGATTATTTTTTTCTTTTTGATCTTCTGACTGGATGTTTTTTCCTTCCTCATATTCCAAATGATTGATTTGATTCTCAGCATCGTCTATTTTACTGTTGATTCACTGTAAATTATTCTTCATTTCAGTTAGTGTATACTTAATTTCTGACTGGTCCTTTTTCATATCTTTGATGTTCTCACTAAGTTCCTTGACATTCTCACTAAGATCCTTGAAGTTCTAATTAAGTTCCATGAGCATCCTTATCTCTGAATCTAGTGGTTTGCTTGTTTCCATTTCATTTAGTTCTTTTTCTGGAGATTTCTTCTGTTCTTTCATTTGTGACATGTTTCTTTGTCTCTGCATTTTGGCTGCTTCCCTGTGGTTTTTTTTCTATCTACTAGGTAGAACTGTTATATCTCCTGGAATTGGTAGGGTGGCCTTGTGTAGTAAGTGTTCTGTAGGGCCCAGTGGCTCAGCCTCCCCAGTCACCTGAGCTGAGCACTCTAGGTGGGCTATGTGCACTGTCTTGTAGTTGAGACTTGATTTCTGTTGTCATCACTGGGAGGGATAGACTCCAAGACAATTGACTGTGAGGACCAGCTACAACCACAGCTGAAGAGCTAGTATACAGGAGACACCTCTATGGAGCAGGAATTTCTTCAATGGGGCTTTGGTACTCACCAAGTTCACCCCTTGAGTATGTCACCCATGAATGTGTAGAGTTGTAATCTGCCATGGTCTGAAGCTGTCCATCTGGTGCACTGGCTCTAGGCCCCCCGGAGGTACAAAGTCAGACACTGCCTATGCCCTGCCTAAAGCCACCTGGCACAAGTTACAGAGTGATCTAAAGATGGCTCCTACTTGTGCTGGGCTAGGAGGTGCCCAGGACAGGCCAATCTCTGAACCTTCTCAGGCTTCTGCCAGTGCCGGGCCTAGAGCCACTTATCAAGAAGTATGGGGCACACTGAGTCCAGCTGCTGCTTGTTTCAGAGATTTTAGGAAAGTCTGAAGCCTGAGCCAGAAAAGGCCATTTATATGGAAAAGAAACTGCTAGCAGCTTGAGTGAGGCTGCAAATTGGGTGGGGTGGGATTTCATGGAATCACCAGGGCAGGGTAAACAGTGTGGGCCAGATTTATGGAGACTCAGAAATGGTGTCTGCCAGTCATCTCAGTGGGAAGGAGGTCCCTGCACTTTTGTCTGGTAAAAAACTACCCCTGAGTTCTTACCCTGATGCCAGACAATTTAGTTCCTTCCCGTATGTCTCTATACTTCCCTTCTCTTTTAATCTGCTGACCCAGCACTGGGGCTCTGAGGGAGCAAATCTATGTCAGTCCATGTGCTGGTCCTTTTATTTTTAATTTTTAAAATTTTTTATTGTTTAATTATTACATATAGCATTACATATGTCACCTTTTCCCCCCATTGACCTCTCAGGCCACCCCTCAAGGCATTCAGGGGCTGCTCCTCAGGCAGCAGCTGCACCTCGGGCAGTAGCTGCTCCTCGGGTGGTCACAGCAGCAGCTGCCCCTCAGTTGGCGGCGGCTCCTCTGGTGTGCGCTGCTTGCAGCAGTGGTGGCTCCTCTGGCTGCTGGGGGTAGGCTGCTCACACAGTTGCTGCTCCTCACACAGGGGTGGGCTGCTCATGAGACTGCCACTCCTTGGATGGGGGTGGGCTGCTCACACAGCTGCTACTCCTCATACGGGGGTGGGCTGCATGGGGCTGCATCTCCTCAGATGTGAAAAGGATGCTCATGTGGCTCTTGCTCCTCAGGCAATGGTGGGCTGCATGGGGCTGCTGCTTCTCAGACGTGTTCAGGCCACTTGCAGGAATGGGGTGGCATGCCGGCAGGGCTGCTGCTCCTCGGATGTGGGTGGGATGTTCATGGGGCTGCTGCTCCTGAGAAGGGGACAGGTTGCACACACTGCTGCTGTTCCTTGGATGGGGGCAGACTGCTCACACAGCTCCTGCTCCTGGGATGGGGTGGGCTGCTCATGGAGCTGCTGCTCCCCAGACAGGGACGGGCTGCTTGCACAGCTGCTGCTCCTT